GTACAGTGAATTACAATTTTCAATGCAATCAACTTCGACGTGTGGCAGCTATGATAGGGAAGTATTCGGACATCCAGATATTATTTGATAGACAGAGCTTGGCAACAATAACTACGGAGTTTAAGCGTACCTGTCTTCCGTCTACACGCGTCAAGTTAAGAACAAATAATCCACTAGTAGCTTCAACAAGCGGATCGATTGAAAGCGTAAATCAGTTTTAGCGAGCCGATCAGTCGACAAGAAGGACGACAGAATAGTCCTAGGTGACCCACTGTAGCATGCTGTGTTCCGAAGACTGACAACAACGACATCAGCGAAGTGCAAACTGGACGCTAAACGCAGAAGTCTAACCAATCCGACATCACTGATGAAGGCCAACTGTTGCAGTGTCTGCAAATCTGCATGGAATATGGTCGATTTGGACGATGAGCAACAATAAACCCAGTGCCAGAAAAGCGGGCGCCAAACACACAGCAGTTGCGCTGCTTACAGTGGAGAGGAAGCATACGTTTGTGTGCATTGCTTCAGTCGATGAGCGTGGACGTCGAAAGCCCAAAGTGACTGAAAACGGCCCTTTTGGGGCCACGCCAATTTGATTTCTTTGACTTTGGATTATGAATTCCGTTCCGGGACCAAGATATTGGTATGGATTCCATTTGAGATCGGATTTCATGGTGGCATGGCCTATTTCGTTCTCGAGCGAATTTTAAGGAGGAATGACCCGTGGGTGAGAAACAATTGCCACATTAGTCCACGGGCACGCGGTTTCGAGAGTTTCTGGCTGACGAAGTAATCACAGACACCGTCGCGATAGTCAATCGGTTTTATTTCTTATTCGTCGGTGATCTTAGGCTGAAAGTTTCAGAATAGTATTTAGAATAGCTTTTGACAGTTATGTGGAAGTTGGAATTCCTAAATATTTGTTATGGGTAAATTACCCCCACGAGAACTCGTTGAATAATAATAACGAATAATAANAATACTTTTAAGGTTACTAAATTTCTGTTTAATTAGTTTGGTTTTTGGCTGTCTTATTGATCTCCGCGTTATATTTAGTATCTGTAATAAGTGAAATTATTTTTGAGCGACAGTGATCCCCAGTTGGGTTTTTTCCTTGACTTGGAGAATGAGGATCGATCAAATAACCTTGGAATTTTTGAATCAAACCGCATTCGGATGCTGCGCTTACCATTCAGAAATGGGCCGCGGAATTCCGCATGTACCCGTTGCCATGGTGCATAACTTTCTGGCCATGGAGTCCCGTTTTTCGGTTTCGCCTTTACTTTGTGCAGACACGCCTCGCAATTCTTCGCAGTTATGCAAATTTCTGCATTCAAATTAGGCCACCAACACATTTGTCGAGCCAGAGAGTTCATCTTC